TCTCTCTCTGTCAAATAAATGAAATCTTTAAAAAAAAAATAAGAAAAATCCAATAAAATTAAGGGCAAAAAACTTGAACAATCACTCCTCCAAAGAGAATATTCTAAAGGTCAACCAACATATGAAAAATTGCTCAATCTCACTGATCAAAGAGCAATGCAAATTAAAACCATTATGTGCAAAAGATACCAGTGATGATGTGGGGCAACTGGAATTCTCATACGTTGCTTGTAAAGAAGTAAAATTGGCAAAAGTACTTTGGAAAAATGGCATATCATAAACACATCCTAGGACCCATCGATTCTACTCTGAGGTATTGATGACATACATACATTACATGTATGTCCCCAAAACATGTACGAACCTAGTTAGAAGAACTTTTATTCATAGTAGCCCCAAACTGGAAACAACCCAAATGTCCTTCAATAGTAGAATGGATAGATAAATAAGTTGCGCTGTATTCAAACAGAGAAAAACTTAATAGCAACAAAAACGAACTATTAACTGATATATGAAACATGAAGTTAAATCTCTCAAACATGAATGAAAAAAGGCTGAGAGAAAAAACTTCATATTGTATGATTCCAATTTATCTAAAGTTCAAAAACAGAGTAGGGGCTCCTGCGTGGCTCAGTGGGTTAAGCATCTGGCTTTTGATTTAGGCTCAGATCATGATCTCAGAGTCATGAGATCAAGCTCACCCCCACCCCCACGGGCTCCAAGCTCAATGGGGAGTCGGCTTGGGATTCTCTCTCCCTCTGTCCCTCCCTCCCCACCGTGTAGGTGCTCTCTGTCTCTGTCTCTCTAAAATAAATAAATAAATCTTTTTTTTAAAAAGTTCAACAGGCTAAAGTGATTAATGATATTAGAAGTCAGGATAGCTGTAGTATTTACTTTCACCGAGAAGGGGTAGCGACAAGACAGGGCTTTGGGGATACTGCTGCGATTCCATTTTCTTGGTCTGAGAGAGTGATTCTGTCGGTTGTATTTTCATTGTGAATATTGATTAAGCTGTATAAGTATGATTTGTGTACTTTTTCTGAATGCTTCAATTTTTAAAAGTATTAAAGAAAAAGAGCACAAAATTGAAGGATGGGAGGAAGAAAGAAAGGTCTGGTTCTGAGTTGGAGAGTAGCAGGGACTCTAGAAGTGCACCAGAGAGGGAGAAATACCCCAAAAGAAAGAAAAAGTGGTGGAGCAAGGATCTTGGAATGAGGTTTCCAGCCCCAGCAAGGATTCCGAAACCCCAGGTGTGGTCCAGAATTAGCACATACCAACAAAACCAAAGGGAGCCTGTGGGCTGGGACAGTGGAGCTCTCCCCCGTGTGGATGGATGAGCAATGACCCTAGTGCTCCTTCCCCTCCCCCACGCAGCCATCACACCACCTTTTTCTACTGAGAAAGATCCAAAACTTGAAACAAAGAGGACATAGGATCTGTACCCATAATGGCTGGAGTTCAGCTTGCCACCAACCCAGCAGCGTGGGGGGCTTGCATTAATTTTAGGAATCGAGAAAGTAAGATCTCTTTACACATTTAAGTGTGAGGACTGAGATTTTTACCAGATACCTAGAAATAACAAGTGTGGGGAATAGACTTCCTCCTACTTCCCTCCTCATCCTTTCTTTTCACAGTTTCTTCCCAGTCATCACCCAAGAAGCAGTGAGGAGCCACCTTTGAAAGCAATCTATCTGGTATGTCTTAAGGATGGCCTTGTGGGTATGACGCAGAATTTACAATATTCCTCTAAAATGTGTTCTTACGTGCCAAAAAGAACATATGTCAAGAGTTCTCAGGACGCCTGGGTGGCTCAATCAGTTAAAGCGTCTGCCTTC